TGATTATATCTTCAGCTCGTCTTCAGATATATCTTTGTTTAAATATCCAAACAATGGTAACTACGATATGATAATGAACGAAAACGAACGACGCTGATGTGATTTCTACTTGTAGAAGCATACACCTTACGTTTTTGCCATTTTTGGCGTTTTTCGGCGTTTTTGACGATTTTTGCCGTTTGAAATCATTTATGAACAATGTTGCAAGATACCTTAAAGGAACAGTCGAATGTAGAAATTATTGCTCTAAACCCTAGTTTTATTATTCCAATTTCTATAAAAACTTCTGCTAATATAAATTTTGACGACATTAATATTTGCAGAATGCTGCTTTACCAAAACTTATCTTTTAACTTAATGTTTTGATATGATTTTATATCAGGAAGGATTCTGTTTTACGTTAGTGACTTCCTGCGAAAAATGTTCTAGTAAATATAAACTTTTTTTTGACAATGATACTTGAAGATGCATCTGTCATTTTATATGATTTAAGCTCCATGTTTTGTTATAGATATTCTCGTATAAGTCCTTCATACTCTTCATATTGCATGAGCTTGTTGAATGAAAACTTAGCTTTGACCGTAGAAAATTATACTTGTTGTACTTTGAATGAAATCTAACATTAGAATTAGTCGTACAAAAAGTAAATAAGAGTTTGTTGATTGAAAACTTACATTTATTAGCATTGGTATTGATATCTGTCTACAGATTGCCTATAGATATTTTCTTTTCTTTTTCTTATTTTTGATGTTTTCAAAACGTATGTATTTAAAACATTTTCGGTAGCCTTTATAAAAAATTTTGTTATTACACTGTGTATACTTTTAGATAGATATTTCCCTGTATATATATTTTTGTCGTATAATACATCGTAGATATCTAACAATATGTTGACTTTTTACCGGATATGTAACCGCAAGAAATGATAATATTGCTTTCAACAACGTCTCAGCGATAATTATTATATAAAAATCTTTTAAAAACAGAAAACGAAAATATGTGTGAGTACAAAAGTTTTAATACTAATGGATTTAATGAGAGATGTAATTAAAAACAAAAATGAGAATACTATGAAGATAGCATAGATAGAAGAAAGTATAAAATAACCTAGTGGTGCTGATACTAACCGAATTTACTGACATGTCTTATTTTTGTAGAAATATACAGCAACTAAATAAGTAAGAATATCGTAACAAATGAATGTCAATAATTAGGGGAAAAGTGATTACAAAGGTTTACAGATGTCTTTAACGATAGCTATTATCTTTTTGGGTTGAAAAAACAACTGATGTCATATTTTTAGGATAATGAAAGATACAATATAAGCGAAGATACCATACTGAAATGTCAGTAATTAATGAAAAAGTGTATTTAAATGTCTAAGAATAGGACTTTTTATATTGGATTTTTTATGACAGATGATGCAAAAATACTGAAACTAAATAATAATATACGGAAAAAGTGAGTACAAACGTTTTTAATAGTGATGAATGACAGATGTCAGATTTTTAGGGTAGAAATGCTAAATATAAAAGCAATCGGTAATTACTTTCTAAAAATGAATGAGGCCTTTTTATTGGATTTAACGAGTCATACGAGACAGAAGATGATGCAAAAATACTGAAACTAAATAATAATATACGGAAAAAGTGAGTACAAACGTTTTTTAATAGTGACAGATGACAGATGTCATATTTTTAGGATAGAAATGCTAAATATAAAAGCAATCGGTAATTACTTTCTAAAAATGAATGAGGCCTTTTTATTGGATTTAACGAGTCATACGAGACAGAAGATGATGCAAAAATACTGAAACTAAATAATAATATACGGAAAAAGTGAGTACAAACGTTTTTTAATAGTGACAGATGACAGATGTCATATTTTTAGGATAGAAATGCTAAATATAAAAGCAATCGATAATTACTTTCTAAAAATGAATGAGGCCTTTTTATTGAATTTAACGAGTCATACGAGACAGAAGATAATGCAAAAATACTGAAACTAAATAATAATATACGAAAAAAGTGAGTACAAACGTTTTTTAATAGTGACAGATGACAGATGTCATATTTTTAGGATAGAAATGCTAAATATAAAAGCAATCGATAATTACTTTCTAAAAATGAATGAGGCCTTTTTATTGGATTTAACGAGTCATACGAGACAGAAGATGATGCAAAAATACTGAAACTAAATAATAATATACGAAAAAAGTGAGTACAAACGTTTTTTAATAGTGACAGATGACAGATGTCATATTTTTAGGATAGAAATGCTAAATATAAAAGCAATCGATAATTACTTTCTAAAAATGAATGAGGCCTTTTTATTGGATTTAACGAGTCATACGAGACAGAAGATGATGCAAAAATACTGAAACTAAATAATAATATACGAAAAAAGTGAGTACAAACGTTTTTTAATAGTGACAGATGACATATGTCATATTTTTAGGATAGAAATGCTAAATATAAAAGCAATCGATAATTACTTTCTAAAAATGAATGAGGCCTTTTTATTGGATTTAACGAGTCATACGAGACAGAAGATGATGCAAAAATACTGAAACTAAATAATAATATACGAAAAAAGTGAGTACAAACGTTTTTTAATAGTGACAGATGACAGATGCCATATTTTTAGGTTAAAAAGAATATTGAATAGACATACAAAAACCTGTAGAGATGACAATGGTTGGATAGCTGCGATATTTTTTAGGTTGATAGCTTGAAAAAAAAGAGATGGTAATAATAAATGTTTGACAGATGATTTTCCAGGTTGTAAATCTTAAATGCGAAAATAATCGAGTACAAACGAAGATGGTATATATTGTAATTGTTGTATTTATTTTTAATAAAGATTAAGACGATGACACGACAATAACGTACTGCGCAGGTTTACATACGATAATGGACGAAGAGTATTTTGTTATCTTTTTACTATCGACAATAAACGTAGAGTATTTTTATTGTACTTGTAAGTAATAAGGAAACGACGATGATGTATGACTACAATACGAACAATACGACTTCTTAGACTTATTCTCAAATACTGAACTTTTGACTGCTACCTTCCCGTATTCATTGATCCAGAAAAGTAAAGTCTCCTTGGTTATTACATTTTCTGTACTAACCAACTATGGCCCCTTTGGTAATGCAGCACCGTGTATTCTATGGCTCTTTAAAGATTTCTACGATTTTCCATTCTTTTTTCTATAAATTTCTACGGATATCACCCTTTTAACGTTTCACTCTTCCTTTTCTTCTTCTTCAGTAGTTTTTTGTTCTTCGTCTTAGGCCTGTACTGGCTTCTACATCATCTTAGGTCTTCACTGCTCTCTGTATGATTTCTTAGTATTTTTTCCTCCAAAGTTTATACCTTTTTGGTTTCCCCCTTCCTAGCATTTTGACATTGTTTACTTACTTAGCGATAGATAGATACGAATTTTTATGATTTTATCCTTTACCGTATATTTGTCTCCTCTTTCCGTCTGCCTGTCCTTTTATCTGTATTTTTGTCTGTCTATCCGTTTGTCCACCTAAGATCCTTTTGACCATTTTGCACCTGGTGCCATGCCACCGAGACTTAGGTCCTTTTGTCCGCGAAACGAAACGTAACGAAACGTGACGAACCGTAACGAAACGTAACGAAACGTAACGAAACGTAACGAAACGTAACGAAACGTAACGAAACGAAACGAAACGTAACGAAACGTAACGAAACGTAACGAAACGAAACGTAACGAAACGTAACGAAACGTAACGAAATGTATCGAAACGTGACGAAACGTGACGAAACGTGACGAAACGTGACGAAACGTAACGAAACGTAACGAAACGAAACCATCTTTTTCTGTTTGATCTATGGACTTTTGGCAAATGACTGGTATTACGTGGCAACTTTTGGAAGATGGCAAGTACCTCAATACTAAGTGCACCTGCTCCTTCTGACTTACGCCGGTCGACTCATATTGCGCCGGTTTCCACACTCCCCCGTTTTCCCCTCCAGGTGCAGGCTATACTGTGCAACGGCCATCTTGGATCGCTTAGCCGTCCACTGACTTTGCTGCTACGCCCGGCGATATATTCCAGTCGCGTCACTAACAGGTGACGTCTCCTCCATACAGCTGAATGGCCCGGATAGAAAATGGCGTTACCCAACTTCATAGGTTAGGTTACGCTGACAGCTGACGATTTCGTTGACTCCGCCGAGACTTAGGTCCTTTTGGCCACGTTGTAGTTTTAAGCGTTATTCGTTCTCTACATATTGCCGTTTTTCTTGTTTGAATCGGACCAACAGCAGTGAAGATACGTGCTAAGGCCCCTTTGACATTGTACAAGATTTTTCTCTTTTACGTTAATCGTTCTTTACGTAATGTCGTTTTTCCCGTATAGCTGAGATAAACGCTAAGGCCCTTGTGACATTGCACAGGATTTTTCTCTTGTACATTAATCGTTCTTTACGTAATGCCGTTTTTCCCGTTTAAATCGGACCAATAGCAGTGAAGATACACGCTAAGGCCTTTGCGGCATTGCGCATGTTTTTTATATTCAACGTTCATCATTCTCTACGTAATGTCGTTTTTCCCGTTTAAATCGGACCAACGATAGCTGAGATATACGCTAAGGCCCTTCTGACTTTTCATTTACCTCGTATATTTTTCATTGTTTACGTCAACTATTGCCGCCATCTTGGATTCTCGACGTTATCATGTTTACTGATAACCCAGACTTCGAACTTCGACGCGTGACCTTGAAAGCGACAAAAATTGCCAGAATGAACCTTAGAAATTCCCATGTTAATTTCCATAAGAAAAACGCGATTTTGTTCTAGAATGAACATAGCCCCTTTACTCACGCGCAACCAATTTTAGTCTTCAGTGACCGTTCTCAATATCATTTTTTGTAATTTTATTATTTAGGTTGGTACAGATTATTAATTTCTAAATAAAAAATACCTATTATTAAATAAAATATTGAAATGTAAGAACTATTTACCAGAATAGTGGAGCCATCTTCTAAAGTAATGTTTTTGAAATCTGTCATGTCAACAATAGCAATGTTGAGGTTTGTTCTTAAAGCGTACATATTCATGAATCCAAAAAATGCCAAAATTGATAAAACATACCGCTTGTGTTTCCAAATTTTCCAAATAGGTACATCATATCTAAAATGTCATGGGACAAGTTTGTTACGAATCAACGGCTTACAAAAGCAATTAAAAATGGTAACTATATTCGTCCTATATCGTTCAATAGTTTCTGGACACTTCGTACTCGACAATAGGTTTAGCAGAACATATATAAAAAAGTCGTTTTTTATAAACTCTTTATTACGCCATTTTTTAAATAGGGTTTATTACTGTTATGCAGGTTTTTGGTATCTCAATTTATTTCAACTCAACTTCCATAATAACAATACAACTGATAACATTAACGTATAACCTCTCCCAGCTAGCACCGGACGTCGTTTCACGTTGAATTTTGGTCAAATACGTCGATGCGACTTTTTGACGCAAAAGAAACGTAATTGTGACGTAATTTTCTGGCCAATTTGACACGTAAACACAGTTGTTGCGAACAAAATAAATCCATTTATGTCATTAATGCACTTCGAGTTTTTGTTATTCATTATTAAATGAATAGAAGGTATTTTATACAACATCGTTTATTTAGTGGTCTTTGTGACACCAAAATAAGACGTACTATGACGTTATTTAGGGACCAGTTAGTCACGTTCCGAAATGAGGCGTTAAACTGCGCACGTGTACACGTCGATTCTGTACCTTTATTGTTTTACATTCTATTTATTAATAAAGGTATCTTTAGTGTTTATAATAATTTATGATTATCATTTTAAATCTAGGGATTTTTGGGAATTTTCCTTTTTAGATGAAATTTTATGTCAACGCTGATGAATTCCTTATTGATGACGAACCTATTGGTAAGTACTGCTTTGTCTAGCAAAACTTATTTTTTATTATGAGTAAAAGTCATACTTTTGTGACAGTGTTGTAAGTACATTTCTTTTATTCCGAACAGTTTTTTCTTCAAATGTCAATAATTGTTTTTCACAATTAAAATCTCATCTTTACCATCAAAAGAGCTTGGGAGTAAAATAACTTTTCCTCTTACCAATGTATACCTCGTAAAAATAATATTTCTTCATTTCATTAATTATAAAAAAAGTCAGGTTAACCTGGATTAAAATTCACAATTTTACATCACTTTAAAAATTAGCATCATAAAATTATTATTAAAATATTAGGTTTTCGACCTATGAAGAAAAACTAAATTTTCTGTTAGCTAGGAGCATTTCTAGCACTCTTTAGTGAGGAGCATATTTAAGTTTTTCCTTGATTTCTCTTGACAGATCTGGTTTTATTTATCTTGTTTTTGAAAGAGTAAAACCAAATTTGGTAGATTTTCACTTTTATTTTAAAAATAAATTTTTTTTTTTTTTTAAAAAAAAAAACACTAACATGACATATGTTTCGAAGTACAACTTCTTAGCTGAAAATCATTCTTTTACAGACAACTTTGAAATTTTACATGTAGAAAATAAGAGCCTTAAATTAAACCATTTAGAAACACTTGAAATAAATAGATTTAAAAATTCAGATAACTTACTAAATGATCAATTAGATATTAATAATTCACCCTTATTAAATCTCTTTCCCAGTTTTCTGTGAGATAATCCCGGTAATGGGCTATCTTATTGTTATCTGATGTAATTAGGTAATTATAATATCATTACCTAAGTACCCTTATTTACTTTAAATAGTTAGTTTATTTTGTAATGTTATTGATGTTTTCTTAAGTACTTTGTTTTGTTAAATTATTTCGTATATATATTGGATACCGAATTGTAAATAGTCACATTTGAAAAAGAAGTTGTACTTCGAAACATATGTCAAGTTAGTGTTTTTTTAAAAAAAAAAAAAAAAATTTATTTTTAAAATAAAAGTGTGAAAATCTACCAAATTTGGTTTTACTCTTTCAAAATTAAATGGATTTTCATCAAGTAAAGGCCGAAACAATAAATAATTATCTTGTTTTGTGTATAAGTTGTCAACCATCAAATATATCACTTTTGTGAAAGCTTAATAATAAATGCATTTCTGTCTTTCTCAGTCATTGCTAACTCTATTTTTTGGCTCACATTTTATTTAAATAATTAAGTTTCTTGTAGTTATAACTATTATATTTTGTTTTAGAAACGAAACGAAAATTTAATAAGGATACCATTGAAGCTGCTCCAAGCCTGTATATTCAGAATGATTTGTTGAATATCTGGACACTGCTAAATAGTTTTTTTTTTAATTTATACATTCTAAGAAGTAATGATTATTTAGTTAGTATACTTACTATGTTTCAATTCAGAAATTTTATGCAGTAACCTATCTTTTTTTATAAAACATTTTTTTATAAAACGTTTTTTTATAAAAAAATTTTTTTACTAATTAAACATTTTTAAATAAGTATTATGGTGTTTTTTTGGACGTCTAAACACGTTACCTGGTGACGTATTTATCTGACGCCTTTGATCTGTGCTATATTGCCGTCATAATCACGTCATCAGCACGTCATAAATTGGTGATTTCGACGTAAAATGTGATATGTATTTCACGTGAAAATCATGTGTCTGTGCTAGCTGGGCTATCATAAAACTGATTGTCTGACGTCAGGATCACCAACTTATATAGCTCGATTTATCTAGAACCTTCTCGAACTATCAAGATTATTCTTGACATAGAATGACATTTTTTGAATATTCCCCCTTCTTCTTTTACTCGTACCTTTACTTAAGACGACCGCAGCACACTCAGGGAGCTGCGTAACAGTACTCCCTCCTCTCTAGTTATTCACCTCGAATAACTTGATTACTGGGACCTAATTGGAGCTAACGGGGAGAATCTAAACCACGGTATGGCGCTAACTTTCCAATGTGAACTACCTTAGATTTACTTCCCGCTGACAGCTGAATGCGGTAGATCAGGTCGTTGATTTTTCTTAAGGACGGAGTAGAGGCATTCCCAGTTCCGTTGCGATTTCTAAAAACGTCTCCCCCGGTGCTTGGGATTGTACAGTAATACTGGGTCGCCTCATTCCCTGATTCTCGATTTATAGAACGAGCCCTGCTTCTACAAGGTTCTTTGAAGGTGTCCGATTCTTCCACAATTGAAACATCTCCTGCTTCCATTTTGGCTGTTTCGTTGCATATTTTGCAAGATATTTAAGACTTGCGAAAGGGTAGGTTGGGGGATAGCATCAGTATTGGCCTATTCACTTTCCTGGGATTTATTTTCTCTCACTTTTGCGCGAGAGGATCTGGATATTAGTTTAACCGCTTCATATTCCTGGGCTGCAATCAGTCTCTTCCTCAGCGTTTTATGATGTTGTAGACGAAAAGGTTGTTGCATTTTTACATCTTGTAGTCCATCAATGAATGCCTGTGTGCCGATTTATTCTTGGAAATCTTTGGGCGCCTGTGGATAGGCCAGATGAATCAATCGTTTTATATCGGCCTCGAATTCCTGTAGACTTTCATTATGTTTCAACGCTTGGACGAGAGATAAATAACTGGGTTCCCCTTGGGGAAGAAACTGTAAAGATTGCTGCCTGTCCGCGAAGCCTATCAATGAAATTGACATCTCTTGCTCGGCCCAGCTATTGGCTCTAGCTGCAGCTTTAAATTGAAGTCGATACATTTCCCATGTCGTCTGGCCATCAAACGTGGGTTGTTTAAGGATCTTGCTAATATGGTTCTGTGTAACTGGGGTTTGAATGTGACTTGGTTTGGCTGTAGATGAAGACAAGGTGATGTTTTTAGCTTTAATGTTGCTTACCGAAGCTTGGCTACGAACTCTTATTTTTATTTCAACTATTTCAGTTCTAATTTGCCTTTAGAACTCTACCCTAGCCTTTTCCTTTTGTTTTAAATTCTCTCGTTGTTGTTCTAAATTAGTTTTTAAATGCTCTTGTTGTTGCTCTAAAAGATCTATTCTAATTTTAAGATGACCAACCTCTTACTTTAAGGTTTATTGGATTTGTAGCAAATCGTTTATAATTTTAATCACTTCTTTTCTACGCCTCTCTTCCTCCTTTTCTATTTCTTCCTTTTTGTGCCTTTCATTTTCCTTCTCTTCTTTCTTCCTACGCCTTTCCTTTCTTTCCTTCCTTCTTATGCCTCCCCTCTTCCTCCTCTTCTTTCTTCCTACGCATTTCCTTTTTCTCTTCTCGCCTTACTCTCTCATCTTCCATCTTAAAAAACCATACTGGTGGGCCTGAAGTAACCATGCCTGCTTCGTACTCAATGGATCTAGTATTTACCATAAACTTCGACTTTTTATCCTACCGCTGTCACAATGTTACACTGATTTTTGATATCTCAATTTTAACTCAACTTTTACAATAACAATACAACTGAAAACATCAACTTATAACGTATATCATAAAACTGATTATATATAAGTAATTCCCAGGAAATTCCCCAAACAAATCTCAATAATGAAAATAATTTTTGAACCCCGAAGGTGAAAACAAATTTAATGTAAAAATAAAAAATGTCTGCCAGCGGAGGACTCCAACCCATTCCTATTTTACGCACAGGGCTCTAACCAATTGAGCTATCGACATAATAAATTACAAATTGTCAAGATGAATATAAGATTTCGAATCCAACCTCGCGTTTCATAAAATTCTCAATTCTTCAACAAATTACTGTACAGCATCATCTGAGGAAACATGTAACCGCATTGCAGACACTTCCTCAGGTCGTCTGAAAAACATTAGCTTTCCAATATACGTTACATTGCAAAAAATCGTAGTAAATATCCGAAAAAATAGAATGAAAAATTGCAATTTGAAAGTCACTGAGTATGTCGGCCATAGCTCAATTGGTAATAGCGCTGTGCGTAGAACAGGAACAGGTTGGTTCGAATGCCTCCGCGGGCAGAATTTTTAAATTTTTTATCAAATTTCTTTTCACCTCGGATATTCAAAAATAATTTTCATTATTTCGTAGGGGTAATATTGGGATTTGTTTGGGGAGTTCCTGTGAATTTTTCAATCTATTTTATCAGATATTTAATCAATCGATTTTTTCACTAATTATCTACAAGTATTTTATTCATACCAAAATTTATGATTTAAGTATCTGTAAAGTGGGGAGGCTCATCCTAGTGAAAAATTGTAATAAAAGTAAAGGAACTCAGGAAAAGAAAGATTTGTGTAAAGAATTGCGAAATCCTTTAAATGAATAGACATCAAAGAAAGTTAAGTATTTTGAAAAAATCCAAATTAAAACTACTAATATTGAAGGAAATCATTCTGATTAAATATGTTTTAGTATTGACATTTACTTACTTTATAGGATTTTCTAAGCCATTTCCATTATCCATCATTTGTATTTCTTGGACCATTTTTAATTTATTTTGGTACAATAACTTTAAATTATTACAAAAAATTACAAATCCAGTTACACATGTTTAATAACTGTATTAATTAATCCTCATGGAATAAAATCAAGTCTGTGATAACATAACAAAAAGACCATAAAAATGTAAACCATAGGCGGTACATTTCTTAAATATTTGTTAATTCTAAAAATTAAACTCCAAATTTTAAAATAATAGTTATTTACGAATTTATAGAATAATGTGCTTATTGATATTTGCATTTTTACATTTTATTAAGATCTATAGTCTACGGCATCTATAAACTCTTTTATGTTAAAACTAAAACATTAAATTTTTGAAAAAAATACATATTACTTTCTTGGCTACTGGAAAGCAAGTTATTTTATTTATGTCTTTATTTAGTGCGTACACTGTATTTTCTTTGTCTAACTCCTAGTGTAAAACATCGAATCTCGCAAAAATAACTCTCAGAACATAAATGTTGCAAATTCAAGCTTTTTTTGAAAGAATAAATATATTTCTTTACTTCTTCCAAATAATCTATAATGTCTTATTGTGAATTACTTATAGAGAGAGATCTAAGTTGTTGACAGTCTTTTTTGTGGAAGTATATATAAGTCAACTCATTACAGGCATGTTTGATTGCCAATCCAATTGTGCTAGTTTTACAGAATGGTGTCAAAGTTTATACTTGTTTTTTAAGTTTGTATAAAAGTCTTTAAAATAAAGAAATCAATTAAAACACTGACTGAACTAAGACAAAATATAACAATGATTTAGGTTTGGTGAGCTTGGTAATTTCTCCCGAATTTCCCGACCTAATATCTCTTTTCTTTCTTGTGAGGTCATCAGATTAAAATCCTTGTGTTTTTTTTTTTTTTTTTTTTTTGAAAAAAGGTGTTTATTTTAATGATTTATATGCACGATTAAAAAAGAAGTATTAAGTTTAAAATTTCGTATATCTACTGAATGGTGAATTTTGGAGTTTTTCTTAATCTGAATTTATTGTTATATTTGTTCAGTTTTCCTTTAGGACTTGTGACATCTATAATGTGTGTTTGTTAGCTGATTTTAATATTTTTATTAACATTATTATTAGTACACCATTTAATACGATTATACTTTTATATCCCTCAGTTACTTCAATCTGAAGTCACAGAACGTGTTAAATTGATAAATAAATATACGCAAGTAATTTTTTTTATTGCGTACAAATTTTAAATTACATACACTTCAGACATTACTAAGATAATTTTTATTGTAATTGCTAGATGAATATAAAGAATTATAGACATTATTGACAAAAAATACAAAAAAATTAAAAAGAACTTCTTGTGACTAATTTTTTATTGTCGAACTGTTTATTATTATTTATTTATTTATAGCCACAATACAAATTTTTAAAAACTACAATAAAGATATCATACCAGTCAGGAAATAGTGTAAAATTTTTTGTCAATTATAATCATTATTTGTTTTTGCCTGCTGATACTGATACCTGTACAGAGTTGTACTTAACAAGCAAATATAATTTAAAATCAAAAGAAGAATTTACTGATTTAGTTTTTTATTTATGAATTCTTAAAAATGAATAGAAAAATTATGTTTGGAAAACTAATTTAAATCACTACCATCACCCTCATCAGATTCACCGTCTTTTTAAAATGAGATATCATTTTTTAGTGCGTCAAATATTTATTTTTTGAAATGGGGGTGATATTGCTACCCCTTCCGAGGGTCCTAAGCGATTCTTCTTTTGGCTAGTAATTGCTTGTATTAAAAGATATACTTGGTATTAATCTCAAATTGATATCTCATTTTTAAGTGCGTCAAATATTTATTTTTTGAAATGGGGTTGGGATTGCTACCCCTTACGAGGGTCCTAAGCGATTCTTCTTTTGGCCAGTAACTGCTTGCATTAAAAGGTATACTTGGTATTAATCCCAACTTGATATCTCATTTTTAAGTGCGTCAAATATTTATTTTTTGAAATGGGGGTGGGATTGCTACCCCTTACGAGGGTTCTAAGCGATTCTGCTTTTGGCCAGTAACTGCTTGCATTTAAAGGTATAGTTGGTATTAATTCCAACTTGATATCTTATTTTTAAGTGCGTCAAATATTTATTTTTTGAAATGGGGGTGGTATTGCTACCTTTTCCGAGGGTCCTAAGCGATTCTTCTTTTGTCCAGTAGCTGCTTGAATTTAAAAGGTATACTTGGTATTAATTCCAACTTGATATCTCATTTTCAAGTGCATCAAATATTTATTTTTGAAATGGGGGTGGGATTGCTATTCCTTTCGAGGGTCCTAAGCGATTCTTCTTTTGGCCAGTAACTGCTTGCATTAAAAGGTATACTTGGTATGAATCTCATTTTGAAGTGCGTCAAATGTTTATTTTTTGAAATGGGGGTGGGATTGCTACCCCTTTTGAGGGTCCTAAGCGATTATCCTTTTGGCCAATAGCTTCTTGCATTAAAAGGTATACTTGGTATTAATTCCAACTTGATATCTCATTTTTAAGTGCATCAAATGTTTATTTTTGAAATGGGGGTGGAATTGCTATTCCTTTCGAGGGTCCTAAGCGATTCTTCTTTTGGCCAGTAACTGCTTGCAATAAAAGGTATACTTGGTATGAATCTCATTTTGAAGTGCGTCAAATGTTTATTTTTTGAAATGGGGGTGGGATTGCTACCCCTTTTGAGGGTCCTAAGCGATTATCCTTTTGGCCAGTAACTGCTTGCATTAAAAGGTATACTTGGTATTAATCCCAACTTGATATCTCATTTTTAAGTGCGTCAAATATTTATTTTTGGAAATGGGGGTGGGATTGTTACCCCTTACGAGGGTTCTAAGCGATTCTTCTTTTGGCCAGTAACTGCTTGCATTTAAAGGTATAGTTGGTATTAATTCCAACTTGATATCTTATTTTTAAGTGCGTCAAATATTTATTTTTTGAAATGGGGGTGGTATTGCTACCTTTTCCGAGGGTCCTAAGCGATTCTTCTTTTGTCCAGTAGCTGCTTGAATTAAAAGGTATACTTGGTATTAATTCCAACTTGATATCTCATTTTTAAGTGCATCAAATATTTATTTTTGAAATGGGGGTGGGATTGCTATTCCTTTCGAGGGTCCTAAGCGATTCTTCTTTTGGCCAGTAACTGCTTGCATTAAAAGGTATACTTGGTATGAATCTCATTTTGAAGTGCGTCAAATGTTTATTTTTTGAAATGGGGGTGGGATTGCTACCCCTTTTGAGGGTCCTAAGCAATTATCCTTTTGGCCAGTAACTGCTTGCATTAAAAGGTATACTTGGTATTAATCCAAACTTGATATCTCATTTTTTAGTGCGTCAAATATTTATTTTTTGAAATGGGGGTGGGATTGCTACCCCTTCCGAGGGTCCTAAGCGATTCTTCTTTTGTCCAGTAACTGCTTGCATTAAAAGGTATACTTGGTATTAATTCCAACTTGATATCTCATTTTTAAGTGCGTCAAATATTTATTTGTATAAATGGGGGTGGGATTGCTACCCTTTCCGAGGGCCCTAAGCAATTCTTCTTTTGATCAGTAATTGCTTGCATTAAAAGGTATACTTGGTATTAATCTCAACTTGATATCTCATTTTTTAGTGCGTCAAATATTTATTTTTTGAAATGGGGGTGGGATTGCTACCCCTTCCGAGGGTCCTAAGCGATTCTTCTTTTGTCCAGTAGCTCCTTGCATTAAAAGGTATACTTGGTATTAATCCCAATTTGATATCTCATTTGTAAGTGCGTCAAATGTTTATTTTTTGAAATGGGGGGTGGGATTGCAACCCCTTCCGAGGGTCCTAAGCAATTATCCTTTTGGTCAGTAACTGCTTTCATTTAGAGGTCTTGGCATTAATCCCAACTTGATATCTCATTTTTTAGTGCGTCAAATATTTCTTTTTTAAAATGGGGGTGGGATTGCTACCCCTTTCGAGGGTCTTAAGCGATTCTTCTTTTGGCTTGCATTAAAAGGTATACTTGTTATTAATTCCAACTTGATCTCATTTTTAAGTGCGTCAAATATTTATTTTTTGAAGTGGGGGTGGGATTGCTACCCTTTCCGAGGGTCCTAAGCAATTCTTCTTTTGGCCAGTAACTGCTTGCATTAAAAGGTATACTTGGTATTAATCCCAACTTGATATCTCATTTTTAAGTGCGTCAAATATTTATTTTTTGAAATGGGGGTGTGATTGCTACCCCTTCCGAGGGTTCTAAGCGAATCAGCTTTTGGTCAGTAACTATTTGTATTAAAACTTATACGTGGTATCAATTCTGCTTTGATATTTTATTTTTAATAATATGAATATTAAGAAATTTCATTATGAATGTATTATTTTTCATGTATTTATTTTTTTTATTTATTTATATAAGGAAAATAACATTTAAAATACAAACGACCTCAATTTTCAATTAACACATAAAATTGAAATAAACGTACGTATTGCCCTTTTTAACGGGCCACTGTATTGTTCGGGAGTACTCGGTAAACGGGCTACCAGTTTTTGGCTACTAACTTCACACCGGTCTGCTAGCTTAATATTAAACGATACATAGTACAAACAATATATTGGTGGTATAAATTCAGTTTTTTTTTTAATTCTATCTTTGTTTTTTTTTATTTTAGCTTAATATTAACCTAGCAGCATCACGTTCTTTTGAAAACGGCACATGGTAAAACATTTTTATTGGTGGTACAAATTAGTACAAATGAGGCACTAAATAATGTAATAGATTTTAATCGATTCTGCCAGATTAGGAGAGGTCACAAGTTTCACACATCGTGTGGGATTGGTTACTTTCTGCATTATTTATAATTTTTTCACGAAAAAATTTAAAAAAATAAAAGTTTACATTCATGTTCAGCACCGTCAAAATTATTACATATTATTTCCAACTCGACTATATTGTATTGTTCATGTTCATATTATTATAATATTGCCATATCAAGATTTTATTTTTGTTTCTAGTTATTTAAAAAAAAATTGTTCAATTGTATATCAGAAGTGAAACAAATTTTAAATTCTTAAAA